CATATCATTGCTAATACTACTAAATCGAGTTCATAGAAACAAGAACATGACTTTGTTAAGATTTTGCGTAACACATTTTAAATATTTATCTAACTTTTTCATAACTGCTTTACAATTGTTTTGAAATTTTTACTTGCTTCAGAGCATGTTTTTAGGAATTTATTAATAAAAATACACAACATTAATTTGTATTGGATGTTGTCGTTTTAGGGAAATTTTCCTGGTTATGTGGAAACTGGAGAAGACCAAATCAACCGAGTCTTTCAACCGTAAATGTTGAAAGTCTTTGCTTTCTTTTATAGGTACTTCTTCAGGAATTTTGTTGCCTTCATTTTCTCGAGAATTGAGGGGTGAAAAGTAGTGCTACATGTACTAATGTTATACTACACTATCTATATAGAGAATTTTTATGTGAGTAGCATATTTTATAATTGATCGTAACTGCTTATTATCCTATTTTATTTAGGATAGAATCTGAAGACTTTACATTCTACTTATCATTTTGGCAATATGCTAATGCCAATAATATTTAAACTTTCAAAATAATACAATTAGCAATTATTCTCTTTGTAGTTTAATTTCTTGATGGCAATGTGGAAGGCGTGTGCGAGGCGGAAAGGGGGAGGGTCAGTCTTTAAGACGGGCGGGGCAGTCAAAGCTACTAGATTTTCAAGACTGTATGGGGCTCCAGGCGCAATTAGGTAATAATTAACCAAAATATTTGTTTAGTTTAGCGCATTTTTACATAAGATGGCAATGTAAATAAAAGAGGTGAAAGTATTTATGCAGGGTCAAGGGGAAGGGCCGCACTCCAAAGGGTGTGAAGTAGGTAGTAGACAACCTATCTTAATACAAGCATTAATGACTGCTTTCATGACTCGAACCTGAATTTTACCAGTGTTATAAGGCTCCCCTTCTAATTCCTCATGCGAGAATTTTTCAACAACTGAAGCTTCTTGTTTTAGGGAAATTTTCCAGGTTATGTGGGCCTCGAGGACTTGTGATGACCCGATAGGTCATCTCATGTTTTAGAACCAAATTTGTGTTCCGAAGCCTTAAATATCTCATTTTAACTTTTCTCTATTTGCGTGCGCGGTCCAGGTGTTTTTCTGGAAGGCTTATATGTTAAAATTGATAAAAATAAGAGTTTTGCCTTAAAAATTCATTTGAGTTGACTTCGGTTAACGTTTTGGGCAAACGAACCCGGATACATGTTTTAACGGTCCAGGTAGGTCCGTATCGAAATATGGGACCTGGGCGTATGCCCGGAATCAAATTCGGAGGTCCCTAGCTCGAGTTATTAATTATTGTTGAAAATTGAAAGTTTAATGATTTTTAAGAATTGACTGATGTTTGGTCCTGTTGATACCGGGTTCGTATTTTTGTTTCGGAGCCCGGTACAGGTTCATTATTATATTTATGACTTGTCTGTCAAATTTGGTGAGAAACGGAGTTGGTTTGACGTGATTCAGACGTTTGGTTGTGAAAATAGAAGTTTTAAAGTTTTCTTGAAAATTTCATTTGATTTGGTGTTAAATTCGTAGTTCTAGGTATTATTTTGGCGATTTGATCGCGCGAGCAAGTTCGTATGATATTTTAGGACTTGTGTGCATGTTTTGTTTGGAGCCCCGTGGGATCGGGTGAGTTTCATTCGGATAGAGTACGGACCATTTGAACTTAGAAAATTTTTGGTTTTCTCATTTCTGCTGGTGTCTGGTGTAAGCTTTTATGCGGTCGCGAATGGCCAACCGCGATCGCAAAAGGTAAATTGGGACTAGGGGAAAAGTACCCTACGTGAATGCGAGGAAAAGGACGCGAACGCGGAGCAATGGGGGGACTACACTTCACGAACGTGTCCACACCTACGCAAACGCGTAGCATTAGATGGGCTGGGCTGGGGGATTTGAGGTTACACTACGCGAACGCGGAGGTCAGGAGGGTTAAATCTCCGCGAGCGCGTGTAACCTCTCGCGATCGCGTAAACCTAACAGGCACTGCTCTTCGCGAACGCGTCAGGATTCACGCAAACGCGATGAATACCTGACGCCCAGTTATTAAAAACAGAACCATTACGGGATTTTTGCCATTCTTTCAAAATTTCAAAACTAGAAGACCTAGAGGCGATTTTTCCAAGAGATTTTCTTCCCCAATTTGTTAGTAAGTGATTCTAACCCACTTTCTTTCAATTACCCATTACATTTTATAAGTTTTCAACCTAAAATCTAGGATTTTTATGGTGGAAATTGGGGGTTTGGGTAGAATTAGGGATTTTTGTAAAATTGGAATTTAGACCTCAAATGGAGGCCGAATTTCGAAAAAAATTACATAACCGGGCTCGGGGGTGAATGAGTAAATGGATTTTAGTCCGAACCTCGGGTTTTGACCAAGCGGGTCCGGGGTCGATTTTTGACTTTTTGGGCGAAAGTTTGAAAATTTTAAATCTATGCATTGTAATTGATTCCTTTAGCATTATTTGATATTATTGAGTCAATTGTGGCTAGATACGAGTGGTTTGGAGATTTATTCTAGGGGAAAGGCCCGGTAGAGCTTTGAATTGACTGCGGAGTGAGGTAAATGTTGTGTCAAACCTTTACTTGAAGGAATTAGGAATCCTAAGACTATGTGCTATGTGATTTTCATGTGAGCGGCGTATATACGAGGTGACGAGTTCTTATACGCCGCCGAATTATCTATTTTCCCTGATTTTCCATATTTCCTTAATTGTTTCCCTTCCCTGTCTTAACTGTTATATGCTCTAAATGCTTTGCATGCTTAACCGCTAACAGTTATTCAATATCTTCTCCTGTTAATGATGTTAGCTCTTTTCATAGTTTCATGATTCTCTGCTATTTTCTTAAAAGGACTTACTTCTACCTTCTAATTTTTAATTACTGGATTGGTCTCGCTGTGTAGTATTACTTGTGTAGATTCCTATATTGTACAAGGTTTCCCTTCTTGGTTCAGTTTGATATTTATTGATGTAAAAGTTTCGTGGTTTGAACTATTGATTTGACTGCGCACATTGAGTATTTGGTACTGATATCGTGGGATCAGGTTGCACGCCACAGCAGGTGTAATAAGGATGGATTGATATGGTGGAATAAGGGCGAATTCGTACTGTATGGTGGGATCAGGTTGCACGATGCAATAGGTGGAATAAGGCTGGATTGATATGGTGAAATAAGGGTGAATTATGATACTGATATTGATACATGGTGGGATTCGGGTTGCGCGTCACAACATTTTTATAGTATCTCTGTTGTTATTATTACTACGGCGAAATAAGGGAGGATTCTGTGTTGTACGGTGGGATCGGGTTGCGCGCCGTAACTGCCTATGTGTTTTCTTTTCTTGAGCTGAGTTGGTTTTCGGTATTCTTATTTGAACTGCTAAGGATTGGTAATTCTGGACGACACTGGTTGTTTTCTTGAGGTTGTAGTTATTATTTTCATTGAGTGTTTTATCCTGTTCCATATTTCCATTTTCTGTCATTATTATATACTGCATACAGATTGTACTGTAAGTGACCCGCCTTAGCCTCGTCACTACTTCGTCGAGGTTAGGCTCGGAACTTACAGAGTACATGGGTTCGGTTGTACTCATACTACACTCTGCACTTCTTGTGCAGATTTTGGAGTCGGTCCCAGCAGCGGTTATCAGTGAGCTCAGATGGGTCAGCGCACAGAGACTTGAGGTATAACATCTCAGCGCTCGCACTCCGGGAGTCCCCTTCCTTGTTTTATTTAGCTGTGTACTTTCTTTCAGACAGCTCTGTACTTATTTCAGACCCTTGTATGTGTTATTCTAGTAGCTCGTGCACTTGTGACACCAGGTCGAGGAATTTGTAGTAGATATTTGGCAGTTTTAGTTTCCGCATTTATACTTTAGAGTATTTCAGTTATTTCTCATTAATTAATTCATATGTTAAAAATTGATAATATATTCTAACATTGGCTTGCCTAGCAAGTGAAATATTAGGCGCCATCACAATCCCGACGGTTAGAATTCCGGATCGTGACAAGTTGGTATCAGAGCACTAGGTTATATAGGTCTCGCGAGTCACGAGCAAACTTAATAGAATTTGAAGAATCGGTATGGAGATGTTTGTACTTATCCAACCACTCATCATTCCGGCGAAGCTCGGCTATGGGAAGTGACAGGTCAGTCTTTAAGATGGGAAGGGCTAGGCTGGAATTATTTTTCAAAATGCAAACAGAATTGCCACAAGGACCAACATGTAAATGTATAATAAATGAAACATTGGTACAATTTCATGAAGTTTGTATACTTGGTCAATGCTATGAAGGAGTTACATAGGGGTTTTGCCAGTTTTAATACATTGTTGATGGCGGGCCAAAGGGATCGAATAACTTGCATGATTATATATATAACTTTATCAAGATCCTTTACTTTCAACCAAAGTATCAAATGGAATAACATGCAAAATTGAAACAACACTTTACGTACTCGCTGAACGACACATTTCGTTTATCGAGAGTCAACCCTAGCATTTTGAACGTTTTAGGGAGTAAAAGCTAACAAGGGTCACACTAATGTTGTGAGCGTGCTACCACGTACTACAACCAGGGGCAAAGCTACACTCTGGTAAAGTGGTCAATTGACCACCTTTCATCGAAAAATTACACTGCATATATAAGTAAAATGTTAGATTTTAGAGGTACATAATATATATTGAACACCATTTGTCGGGAATTTTTTCTACTTCTTTCAAGTTTGAAGACCCTTGGAGAAATTCCTCCCTACACGCCACCGACTACAAGTCCGGTAGTTTGTAAGAGGAAGAGTAAAATTAAAAGGGATTGGAATAACTTGCAATATCGTATAACTTCCTCAAGATCCTTTACTTTCAACAAAGGAATATTGGAATAACTTGCAAGATCATATAACTTCCTCAAGATCCTTTACTTTCAACAAAGGAATGGAATAACTTGCAAGATCATATAATTGGATGAATATGGATATATCACATACCCGAAATCAAAAGAGATGGATCCAACCTTTTATAAGGCTGCAGTGGAAGGCAACACCGGAGAGGGCAACGACTTCCTACCACAGTTGATTGGCGATGAAGAAATTGGCTATCAAATCACTCAGAAAGGCAACACAGTCATCCACGTCGCAGCCCTTTATGGCCACTCCGATTTCGTCCAACGAGTCCTCACTATTTCCCCGGCATTGTTATGCCGTCAGAACAAGAAACATGAGACAGCACTTCACGTAGCAGCTAACGAGGGTCATGCTGAAGTTGTCCGCGTGCTGCTCAGTGAAGGACGACGAGAGGCAAAGCAGATCATGATGCGGATGACAGATGACAATGGAGATACGGCCTTGCACAAAGCTGTGAGGAAGCGACATTTTGGTGTGGTCACTCTCTTGGTGAAAGAAGATCCTGAGTTCGAATTTCCAGCAAACAATGCTGGGGAGACACCTCTGTATCTGGCTGCGGAGTCTAATTTTGTGGGTGCTTTGCATGAAATCTTGGAACACTGCAAGAAACCATCTTATTCAGGACCATGTCAACGAAACCCTATGCATGCAGCAGTCATATTCAAATACCCCAGTAAGAATAGTACACCTGTTTGTTCAGCTTTCCTATTATTACATGTCAGATAATCTCAATATTTGGCTTGATTATGGGCTATGTTGTGCGGACTCTTCGAAAATATTGTTGAGTGTATGTCAGATCCTCCAAAAAAAAGAGTATTTTTAGAGGATCTGACACAGATACGACAGTGTTTTGGAGAGTCAGCGCAACATAAATTATGGGTTCATATTCCTTACGTCATGGTTGATTAATGCACAACTTAGCTGAATTATAATGTATACGATCCAAATTCTAATGATCCTGCACCTCAGCTATAATTCCCGTATAGTGAACCCTTACGAACTTTCAACGGAACAGCGCATTTAATACCGACATAATCCGTAATAATGATCTTAATAGTGTAGAAATATTATATTTTATTCATGTACTTTGGTGAATAAGAGAAGTCTTGAATATAATATGGTGATGCTTTGTACCCTAGATACATTGATAAAGATCACTTATAAATACATATGTATTTGAGCCAGTTTGGATGAGCCTAATTATGAGGAAGATCTTTTCCTACGCTTCTCATCTGATGGGTTTGAGTGAAGTTTAAGTACGGTAATGATACACTTTTGACTCGTTTAATGATATATCCTTTATTTTTCGCTTTAGAAATAAACCTACACAAAGGTGGAAGTTTATTATACTAAAGGGTAAACTACGCTAAGTACATTTATATTATCACTCGCTTTCGAATACATTCTTTGTATTTTTGAATCAAATGTACACTTACTACCCTTATATTCCCCCTGTTCCAATTTATGTGAACCTGTTTGACTGGGCACGGAGTTTAAGAAAAAATGAAAACTTTTGGAATTTATGGTCTAAATAAGTCAAAAGGGGCCCAGAGTATTTGTGTGGTTATAAAAGCTTCTCACTAAGGGTAGAATTGTAAATTTAAGCTAAATTGTTACCAAATTTAGAAAGGGGTCATTCTTTTTGGAACGGACCAAAAAGAAAATAGGTTCACATAAACTGGAACAGAGGGAGTACTATATTTGAAGTCCTACACATATATTAACATCATTAGCTAGTGTTTAATTAACCTTTCTGATTTTCTTAATAATATATTGGAAAGTTTTCATATTTGCCCTTGTAATTTACAAATAAAGTCTAGATTTACTTTTTGTTTGAAGTTTGACTTACTGGTGTCCTTGCCGTAAAATTCTTCATTTTCGACATAATTCACTCCATAAATATTTTCATTAGTGTTTATCCATGCATCTGAGTCATTAATATTATTGAACAACTCATTTTTATTGAACAAAACCTGCGGCCAGCACTCTAGCACTGCCACTAGCAGTAGTGTACTGCAATGGAAAAGAAGTACCTCTGTCTTGTTAAACATTGTCATATATATATTTGGACGGAGGGGATACCTGTTCGTGTGCTACACATACACTGTTGGTTCTTGATAAAGAAATTAAGGGAAATAACTGGAAAGATGACAAGATAATAGAAAAAATATACTGGAATAGATGTAAAAGGAACTGAAGCTGAAAATTCTATGTTATTTTACTGCATTTGGACTACAATTTATAAGAGAAATACTAACTTAAAAGACCTAAAAATCAGCACAAAATATGCTGAAAATAACTAACTCCTAGAGACTAGTTCACTCCTAAAGACTAGTTCAAAATTATTTCAAATTCAAACTAAATTACTGCAGTAAATAGCTGAAACAGTAAAATAATTTTACTGAGAGCAGCTTCTAAAGCATATTTCTAACACTCCTCCTTGCTTTTGAAGTTGCAAATTCTGAATTTGTCCCTTGTAAACCTTTAACTGGAAGTGACTTTGTACGTAAATCTGCCAACTGATCTTTGGACTTGCAGTGAATCGAGTTCACTTCTGTATTTTGCTGCATCTCATGATTGTTAATGAAATAAGTTGGCTCGTTTTTCAGCTTCATTTGCATCTTGCCTTGAGACTTGTCAACTTTTTTCCAGAATTGCATTTTCTGAAATATTGACAACTTCTTCCTTACCTTATTTTCACATATGTCCTCAATTGGAGAATTACCTGCACTTAGTAGATTCTTTTGGCTCCATTCTTCATCTTCGGTTGGATCAAATAAGAAATTTTTACCTCTCATTTTAATCCTTAAAATCTCAAGTCCAGTTGCATCATAAATGAAACAATATTTATCTTCAAAGGATACTTTAAATCCTTTTTCCATTAGTTGTCCAACACTTAATAAATTTTGATCACTATCAGGAACATAAAGAACATCTGAAATTTTCTTAGTACCTGAATTTGTTGGGATTGCAACAGTTCCTTTTCCTTTAGCAAGAATATAATTACCATTTCCAATTCTGACTTTCTTATTTCCTATAGACGTGAACTCTTTGAAAAGATTTCTGTCATATGTCATGTGGTTTGTATAACCACTATCAATCAACCAAAAATCAGATTTTTTGGTTGAAAGAATAGTTGCCACAAACAAGTGATCTTCTTCTTCTTCATTGGCGACTTGGGCATCTGCTTCATGCTTTTGATATTTGCCTTTGCAAATTACAGCTTCATGACCAAGTTGGTTGCAAATTTTGCACTTTGCATCTGGCCTCTTCCAACATTTGAATGGTGGATGACCTTTTTTGCCACAATGCTGACAAGGCGGGTAAATTTTTTTAACATTATTACCCTTGCTTTGAGTTTTGTGGTTGGCTGCCAGGGCTCCTTCAACCATACCATCTTGCCTCATAAGCCTCCTTTGCTCTTGTGCCTGCAATGTATTTAAGAATTCTGCCAAGGTAATCTTGGATAGATCCTTTGTATTTTCCAAGGTAATTATGAATACTTCATATTTTTCAGGCACCGTAACAAGAATTTTTTCAACATTTCTTGGATCTTTAAATTTAGTACCAAGCAATCTTACCTTGTTAACAATGCCAAGCAACCGATCTGAGTATTCTTTGACAGTCTCAGATTCCTTCATTATCTGCAACTCGAATTCCCTTATTAAATTCAACACCTTCATGCCTCGTATTCTTTCATCTCCTGTATATTCTCCCTTCAGATAATCCCATATTTCTTTTGCTGATTTGAGATCCATAACTCGCGTGAAAATTGTTGCAGACACACCAGTACACAAAGTTGCTTTCGCCTTTGATTTTCTGGTTTTCTTTCCTTGTGACTCTTGATCTGGGCCATGGTGGGATTGTTAGGCAGCGGAAGAACATCATAATCCTCTTCCACGGCCTCCCAAAGATCTAAAGCCTCCAAGTAAGTCTCCATTCTCACTGCCCACAGTTGGTAATTTTCACCATCAAAGACTAGAGGAGCAAATTGAGAAAAACTCATTTCAGTCTCCATCTCACTCAAGAAAAGATTTTACTTAGGTCCCTTAAGAAGATGGCTCTGATACCAATTATTGGTTCTTGATAAAAGAAATTAAGAGAAATAACTGGGAAGATGACAAGATAATAGAAAAAATATACTGGAATAGATATAAAAGGAACTTAAGCTGAAAATTCTATGTTATTTTACTGCATTTGGACTACAATTTATAAGAGAAATACTAACTTAAAAGACCTAAAAATCAGCACAAAATATGCTGAAAATAACTAACTCCTAGAGATTAGTTCACTCCTAAAGACTAGTTCAAAATTATTTCAAATTCAAACTAAATTACTGCAGTATATAGCTGAAACAGTAAAATAATTTTTACTGAGAGCAGCTTCTAATGCCCATTTTCTAACATACACTCAACTCATGTTATGAAATATAGGGCATAATGATAAAGCATTTGCTACAAATTGGTCGATTTGGAAGACGGGACGTGAAGATAAAACTGAAGAACAAGAAAAAGCCAATGACAGAGAATGAGAAGGAAAAAAGGAAGGAGAAGGCTGAAAAAGTGAAGGATAAATTTATGACGGTAGCTTAAACACATCTAGTTGTGGCCACACTAATAGTTACAATTACCTTCGCAGCTGGTTTCACATTGCCAAGAGGATTTGACAGCAATCCCGGCCCTAATCAAGGCATGGCAATTCTAATAAGAAAAGCAACTTTCAAAGCGTTTGTTTATACGGATACCATTGCATTTGTATGCTCCACTGGTGCTGTATTCAGTTACTTCGCCATGGCAGTAAGGGTTGTACTATTTGCTGAAATTTATACGAGTGTCCTTTCGCTATATGGGCTCGCGACCTTGTTGCAGCTTTTGTCTATGGCAGCATTTGTACTTGCATTTGTTACTGGCATGTTTGCTATTTTAGCACATTCAATGGGAGTTGCGGTTACTGCCATCGGCTGCATCTCATTCCTTATCTACTTTAGCATGTTGTATATGGTATTCAATTGGGAGTGCTTTCGGTACATTCCAAACGAAATATTAATGCGTCTCTAATACTGTACAATCGAGGGTCTGTCAGAAATAATTTCTCTACCTTCACCTAGTAGGGTAAGGTTTGCGTACACGCTACCCCCTGCAAACTTTACTTGTGGGACAATACTAAATTTATTATTATTGATGTTACTGTATTTATATAGTACATAGTTCAGCAGTCATGAATGATTTTGATGCACTTGAGATACTATTATTGTCTTTATATGTTGAATTTATAAGTTGTTAAGCAATACATTCACCATGCTCAATCACAAAAAAGGTGCAGATTTAGGATAGAAGAAGAGGAAACATAATGGTTTTTAAGACAATAAAGGGGAGAAAGGTCAAATTTTCCTCCGAACTATAACAAAAATATCCATTGCTTCCCTATGACCGTTCATCGTTTTTGGCGTTTTAGAGATATAAAATAGAAATTCAGGATGATTTTTAATTTTTTGTGTGCTAATGCCCACAGCATCTTCATAAATTCGGGCGACGGACTCCGAATCCCCTAAAAATTTCTAGGCCCATCAGAAACGACCTAATAAACAATAATTATTACTTTGTTGTGATTTATTCCTCGCTTTTTGGCGTTATAGGGCCATAAAACAGGAATTCATGATGATTTTCGATTTTTCTTGTGCTAATGTCCACGCCATCTTCATGAATTCGGGCGACGGGCTCTGAATCGCCTAAAATTTTGTGGGCCCATAAGAAAAGACCTAATAAGCAATGGGCATCGCTTCGCCATGAGTGTTTTTGGCATTTTAGGGCCATAAAAAAGAAATTATTCACCTGGTGACATCCAGGTGAATAACAGAGGTGACATCAAAAAGTGCATTAACTATCGGGGTATGAAGTTGCTTAGCCATATTATGAAAGTCTGGGAGAGTGGTAGAGCTAAGGGTGAGGAGGGGTGTGTCTATTTCCGAGAACCAATTCAGATTTATGCCGGGAAGTATGACTACAGAAGCTATTCACCTGGTTATTATATTGATGTAGCAGCATAGGGAGAGGAAGAATGATTTTCATATGGTGTTTATCGACTTAGAAAAGGCGTACAATAATGTCCCGAAAGAGGTTTTCTGGAGATGTTTGGAGGCTAGAGGTGTACCTGTTGCCTACGTTAGGGTGATTAAGGACATGTATGATGGAGCAAAGACCCGAGTGAGGACAGTGGTTGGGGACTCGGACCATTTTCCGGTTATGATGGGTTTGCATTAGGGGTCGGCACTCAGCCCCCTTTTGTTTGCCCTGGCGATGGACGTAGTGACGTGCCACATCCATGTGGAGGTGCCATGGTGCATGCTATTTGCAGATGATATTGTATTGATTGACGAGACGCGAGGCAGTGTGAATGCGCAGTTAGAGGTACGGAGGCAGAACCTGGAGTCTAAAGGTTACAAGTTAAGAAGGACTAAGGAGGGGAAGAGGTGAGGCTGGACTCGCAGGTCATCCCTAGTAGAGGAAGTCTTAAGTACCTTGGGTCTATTATTCAGGGGAATGGGGATATTGATGAAGATGGAACACATCGTATTGGGGCGGGATGGATGAATTGGAGACTCGCCTCCGGTGTTTTGTGTGACAAGAAGGTTCCACTGAAAATTAAAGGTAAGTTCTACAGAGTGGTGGTCAGACTGACGATGTTGTATGGGGCCAAGTGTTGGCCAGTCAAGATCGCTCATGTCTAGAAGATTAAGGTAGTAGAGATGAGGATGTTGAGGTGGATGTGCGAGCACACCAGGTTAGACAGAATTAGAAATGATGTTATTCGGGACAAAGTGGGTGTTGATGTTTCATACTTCAATACCACACAAGAAGGGGGGGTGATTTGTGTGGTGAACAATATTTCGCTTAAGCTTTTTATGGAAGGACCTGGTTCTTCTAAGTGTTCCTTAACCTACTATTGCAGAAATATTAAATGCGAAAAGTAAAGAACACAAGTATTTTATGTGAAAAACACCCGGCTCAAAAGGTAAAAAAACCACGATCTACTTTCCAGTAGTATTTTCCCAAACTCTCCACTAAAATCACTGAGCCAAAAACTGCATTTACAAAAACTCTTTTGTAAACCTAGGACTAACTCTAATCCCGTTGTGGCAAACAGCCTCTAACTGCTGCGACAACTTCAAGTTAACTCTAACTTGAAAACTCTGAGTACCTATTACAATTGCCTCTAGATAAAGCTGAAAGGTACAATATGAAACCACCTACTACAATTGAACTAGAATAAAAGACAGACACTTGGAACTGGTTCTTCTATCTGGTTCAAGTAGCTTCAGGTTTGCACTCTAGAATCAGACACGAACTACTTGCAAAATTGTCTTGCTATTTTGCTCTCAATTCACGTTTCACTTTCTGCTTATGTGTGTTCCCTGTAAAAGAGAATAACACTGATATTTATAGAGTTAGTAAATAGAGATTGACTAGAATTCTGATGCTACTCTTCCTTGGTGGAAGAGTCTAGTTGATCTTAACCTCTAACTCCTTCCCTTTCTTAAACCGTGTTCTCTTTGAGTAAGAAGTCCTTCTCCTTATCCAATATGCAACCTTTTCGATCAGGATCAGGAGATATTACTTCTTTCAAGTTAAGTTTATCTCCTTCACGTGCATCTTACATGCTTAAGTCTATCTGTATTTGTGCTCCACTGGGATGGACCTAGTTCATGTCTGAGTTCTTTGTCAGTCTTCAAAACTAACCTTTACTTGGGCCAACAAATTCCCCCTTTTTGATGATGACAAACTCTGTGCTTTTCATACACTTAGGCCCTGCCAAACTCAGCTCAACATCAATGCAATGTTAGAAATTTGTCTCACTTATCATCAAGGACCAGGTTCATTAGGTTATAAACATCACTATTCAGAATATAAAGCACAATGGCATCATCGAAAAGTTGCATACACAAAGTGTGATTCCTAGATTTTAAAAATTACTCATGGCCACTAGGGCAACTACAACTGCATTCATGGATTAATCATCAGTAATCAACTACACATTCAAACTATCAAGGAAAGAGAAACAGTTAACAAGAGCAAAAGCAGCAACTTCATTGATAGAGAATTTGATTCTGCCACAATCCACAAAAAGAAACAAAAACAGTTAAAACATGAGCAACAAAAAGAAAAATCCCTAATCTGGGTCACTGAAAGGTCTAGTCAAGGTTCAGGAAATGAAGGCTTCGGAAACTAAGGCTTGGAAAAACTGGAGGGTTGGGTTTTGGCTCGGAGAAGGTGCAGCATGTCTTGAAGAATTCCATTATTCTTCTCCTTTTTCCTTTGTGAGCTCAGTTCTGAGAGCATCTCTCTCAGATTCTACCTCTGCCAAACGAGTCTTCAGCCTTGCTATCTCAGCATTCTTTGCCCCACTCTCCTGCAATAGAGCTCTAACCTTGCTATTGATAGGTGTCTTTTTAGATAAACTAGGTTCATTGGGAATGGCAGTGACCTCATAATCACAAGCAATCAGAGTATTGATTCCAAAATGGTCTTTGCTTGTGGCCATCCCCCACTTCTTCACTGGCACCTTACAATGGGCAAGAACAGTAGTGAGAATGAAACCATAAGGAGTGGCATGGGCCTTGGAGCCATTGATAACCCGATAAAGTAGCTTGATCATAAACCCAGGCCAATTGATCTGCTGCCCACTTTCCAGACACTCCATCAAAACCAAGTCCATGTAGTTGGCAATGTGCCTTCTTTCCTGCCTAGGCAGCACACGCTTGTTGACGAATTCAAATAGTACTTTGCGGGATGGCTTCATTTCACTCTTATGCACAACCTTGGCCTCATTTATTTCTGTGCTATCACAGAACTTCCTAGTAATGGCTAGGGAAGTAGGAAGGGAGTCCAGACTTGACCATTTTTGCCTAGTGTAGTCATCATAACCTTCATAAGGAATACCATGGATTTCACCCAGCTCTTTTGCATCAAAAGACACTTGAACCCCTTTTACCTGGCTGGTAACTCTTCCATCCTTGACCTCTACATTGGCCATGAACTCCATTATCTCATTTCTGGCAAGCCTGCCATCTAACTGAAGGACCATGTCCTTCCACCCCTGAACCTCTAGCGTGTAACCCAGTAGAACCATCCCTGGTTCTTTCACGTCCTTCAAAAGTCTACCCTTCAAGATAGTTTGTTTGCCAAACTTGGCCAGCTTATCTTGTTCATTATCGGATTCATCCTCTTCATCACCACTCCAATCTTCCTCCTCAGTAAACTTAACTAGCTTGGCTTTCACAGCAGACCGTGTCCTTTTAGCTAAAGTAGAAGGTTCAACAGACTTGGATACAGATGAAGACTTTTTTGAGGAAGTCTTGGTCTTCTTGAGATTAGGGGTCTGAACCTCCACCTCCATAGTCACATGTTCACCCTGATTGACCGGGTCCATCTCATCCACATCAACAGGCTCTGCCTCCTTTGCTTTTCCTTTGTCCATTCTTTTCTTCTTAATTTCTTCCATAGCTTTCTGCAACTCCTCTTCACTCTGCTTCAACTTACTTCTTGTGGCCCTTCCTTTTGGTAAAGGAATATCAGTAGTTGTCGGAGAAGCAACCTTCCTTTTCTTGGGGTTATAGCTGGCACCAACCTTCTTCAGAAGATCTGCTAGGGTCTCCTCAATAGATAAACCAGGTTTATCTATATGCGTACTGAGATTTACCAGCCCTTCAGCAACTTCCCCTGAACCACTGCCCCCTATTTTCTTGCTACTTTTTACCACTTTTTCTAGCTCAACTCCACAGATAGCCATTTTAACCGTTTCAGGGGTGGGTGAAGAATCAGCCACTTCTTTCTTTTTTCCCCCCACATCACTACTCACACCCTCACTCTCTTTTTCTTTTTCTCTTTTATTTTTACCTCCTCTCCTTCTTGACTCAGGCGTTTCCACATCTACAACAAACCCAACCAAAACAAATCGATTTTCCTTTTCAGCTAGATCAGAAATTACCTCAGTAGAGGGATTTTGCACAGAAGTTACCTGCTCAGAATCAGAAGACCCAAATCCTTCCCCCCCACTCGCATACTTGAAAGAATCATCTAAATTTTGGGAATCTTGGTCTTGACTAGCCTTCAATTGTGCATTTAATTTCTTGGAAAGCACACCTGTAGCCACA